CCCCCATTCCCTTTAAAGAGGAAAATTTAGGGGGGAAAGTTTTTTTTGTTTGGTTTTTTGAGGTTCCGGGTTAAAGAGAGGAGGAGGTTTTTTTGGGGGTTTGGGTGGGGGGGGAAAGGTTCTTTTTGGGAGGGATGGGGCCCCCGGTTGGATGTTGGGTAAAAGCTTCCCCCCCTTCCGGGGGTGGTTTCCGGGGGGTTTTTTAAAGGGGGGGGGGGGGGGCAAGGGGTTCCCAAAGAAACCAAATTGTTCCCCCAGAAAAGGTTTTTTTTCAAAACCCACCTTTTTTGGGGGGAAATACTTTTCGGGGTTTCCCCTTGGGGGATGGGGGGTAAACTGGTTGGGGGGGAAACCGGTTTTGGGCGTTTCGGGTTTGGAGGGGAGGCCGGGTAAAAAAGGTTAAAAGGAATGGGGAAGGAAGGGAAAAGGGAACCCCCCCCCCCCCCCCCCCCCTCCTGCACGAGCAGGGAAGCTGCACCCAATACTCGCAAACCGGCACCTTGATACACGCATCAAATTGACGGTTTTGAAGAGCGTAATCGTACCACCGCTAGAGTACGCCGGAGAAGTATGGGAAGGAAATAAGAAGGTAGTGAAAGAACTCGAGGCTGCGCAGATGAAAGCAGCGAAAATCATCCTAGGATGCTCCAAGCGCACAAGTAATGCAGCAGTCAGGGCAGAATTTGGGATCCAATCCCTACGGTCGGGAAGAGACGTAAGGAAGCTGACATGGCAGTATCGCATGTGCGGGATGGGAGAGGAGAGATTGCCGAGAATAGTATGGGAGGCGAAGTGGGCAAACAAAACGAGGGGTAGACAACCCACGGAATGGGTCAAGGTTGTAGAGGACGTATGGAAGGGATTGGACATCGACGAAGATGAAACGCTTGAAACGGAGGGTCTACAGGGGTTCAAGAAGAATCTATCTGTTGCTTGTGCCGACAGAGAAGAACAGAATCTAAGGAAAGAATCCAAGGATAAGGAGGGTCTAGAAGTGTACGGAATGTTGAAAGAAGGAATAGGGTTCAAGGATTACCTACATGGACCAATGGATGCAGGGACAAAGCTTAAGGTCAAATTCAGGACCGGGGACATAGGCCTTCGCGAACGTCGACGAAGACATAGGACGGTAGACGACGAAGACGACAAGTTCAAATGTGATTGCGGCTTCGAATGCGAAGACAGTGTTCATGTAGTCGCGGAATGTCCGCGGTACGAAAAGGAGAGGGAAGTGTACATGACTGAGCTGGGAAAAATACAAGGGACGTACAGGGAGATGTTTGAGGCATGGAATAGGGAGGAGAGGACGGTAGCGGTACTGGGGAGTAGAAAGTGGTTTGAAAAGGCGGGAAGGGACATCGTTAGGATAGACAAACTAGGGAAGACATTTTTGAGCCACCTTTGGCAAAGTAGGAAGGAACGATTGGCCATCGGTGATCGGTCCTGTGGGAACAATGCTCCGTCCTCTCGAGGACGCGTGGTCAATGGTCTAACCGCTAAGGCATGCAAAACATAAGAGTACGCCCCCCCCCCCCCCCCCCCCCCCG